ATATAGCAGGGACACCTGTAAATATGTGATCTGTTGTACATCGCCTGTCAACGTGTAAATACACTCCTGTTACGCTGGCCGAATTTCGCTCTTCGCTTGTTCGCAAGGTACGTTATCAAGCCAATTATTATACTTCGAACGATTTTAGAAGATAATCGAACAGAACGAAAAGGAGGTCGAATTTGTAATCGCGCGATTTTCCGACCGGTACTAACTGCTAGTTAAAATTATTATTTTCTAACTCGGCACTGATAAATACTTGCAAGTTATACGTATAATAGTTAACGAGATAAAAGTCGGAAATTTATCGTAGTGAGCGAACGGTTCCTTGCTTGTATTTATCCGTTTGAATATATACGCGGAACACCGCAAGCGATTATGTACCGTTAAAAGTAAGTTAGTAAATATCGCGTGCTCAGCGGTCCGAGGTATTAAAAGGTCTCATTAAACAGCAATTATAAACTAGGAATCGGCGGTGGATGTTAGATAGTGAACGTGGCCAGCGAATCTAAAATGACTAGAATCTTCGTAATGTTTCTTCTCGTCCTGGGGGTCTGCCAGGCGAGTTTCATGCTCGAAAATACCGACAAAAATCAAGTAGATTTGAGATACCGGCTGCCGTCCGGAGTAGTGATACCGATCGATTACACATTGCACCTCACGCCTGATATGGTGAAATTCACATTTGAGGGTGAAGTGGACATCACGTTAATAGCGCTGACCACGAACAATATCTTGACGCTGAATTCAAAGTACTTGTCAATCTACAACGTTAAGTTCGTGGATTTGAATACAACGAAGACTCTGGAGAATGAGTACCTAATGGACGAAGAACACGAGATCCTGAACATTACGATAAAACCCCAGTTTGAAAAGGATCATCACTACTCGCTTCAGATAAAATACAATGGAATCTTGAACGACAAGTCGAAAGGATTTTATAGGAGCCAAGTCATACAAAAGGGCGAAGTAGTGTAAGACTGCTTTATTATTACTATTATTATTATCATTATTATTGTTACTAATATTATTAACGAGCATAAATTCGTTAGAATTTACAAAAGAAAACAAGAGAAGTGTGACACATATGAGATACAAACAATAGATGATACAAATATAAACTTAAAAATAAAGCAAATAACGAATTAAATAAAATTCAACTTTTTCCATTTTAGAGGGTATATTGCAACGACTCATTTCGAGCCGACGTACGCTCGACTAGCTTTCCCATGTTGGGACGAACCCGCCTACAAGGCGAAATTCAATATCAGTTTGACACACAATAAGACATTTCAAGCGATCTCTAATACGGACGTACTGAAAAAAGAAGAAAAAGATGGCATGATAACTACTTCGTTTAAACAAACCCCACTGATGTCTACTTATATCGTAGCATTCGTTGTAAGCAATTATGAATTTGAGGAAGATAAAGACAGCAACTTCACCTATAGGGTATGGACGAGAAAGACAATGATAAAGCGGGTTGATTACGCTTTGGAAATGGGTAGGAAGCTTCTGGAACAGCTGAACTTGTACACGAATATTTCATACCAGACGTACATGCCAGACAAATTAGATCAAATCGCGGAGAAGGATTTCCCGGCTGGCGCCATGGAGAATTGGGGTCTCGTGATTTTCAGGTATTTATAAGCGACGAACATCGCGATCAAAATGTAACAGGTTTTATTGCTTATCGATCTGAAAATAAGGAAATACTTAGTACTGAATTAAAAAAATACTCGCGATTCTCTGCTCCTTATAATGAATCATTTGATCAAATTGTACAACTGAATCGCGAAATGCTAATTTATTATCATTGATAGACTACGGATTTTATGCATAAATTACAATATAATTACATACAAAAATTAAATGTACCGGAAATATAATGAATGCATGCGACATGCAAAAGTCTGAAGAAGAGAATCTGTAGAATGTGTAATACAGATCGTTATTTGTAAATGGTAAAAGAATTTTCAATCCAGATTTTACTTTTTAAATTTACAAGACAAAACAAATGTCGTATTTTGTATAAATGTCCGCAGTATTAAGAATGGTTTATTTTTTAATTTTCTGCTAGAACGTGTTGCACATTATCCACGTTCAAGTTTTTAAATATTTAATAATTACTTATAATATAATATTCCAAATATTATGCTTATTTCATACTAAATCATTAAATAGATTTCACTTTGGACAAGCAAATATATAAATATAGAAACGGCTGGTACATTTACCTGCACTATTATAATAGGAAATATAGTTAGTCAGTTTAGTCTTTCTTGACTTCTTTCACTTAAGATAGAAATTAAGATAGAACTGCACTCTTATCCCATGCCCTCCCTCGGCGCTTTCCTTTTTTTCATATGTTTCAACACTTTGATCAATTCCTTCAGTTCCCCTTCTGTCTCGTCATCCTTGTTCTCTTCTGCCATTTCTTGTGTTGGCCTAATCCCTTGAACAAGTTCCTCCTCTCCCGAAGCAGTTTTTCAAAATGCGCTCGCTACTTCGTTTTCTTAATGCCCATCCCTCTTATAAAATAAAACTATGGTAATCCTGTCCCAAATAATACTATTTTCTTTCTATTAATGATCACAAGCATATGACGCACCTCTTCCATCGTTTTCTTATAATAGGAAATATATTATTCAAATAATGTTTCACTGTAATACTGTTTTAGATAAAAAGTGTAGATGTTACAGTGGTCACTTTTCGCTGAATCTAGTCGTTAACAATGAGCCTGGACACCTTTGAACTTTAATTTCCATTTCAGAGAAGGTACTCTCCTTTACGACCAGGCTTCATCCACAACCCGCACGAAGATGAGAATACTCGTGATCATCGCTCACGAACTCACTCATCAATGGTTCGGTGATCTGGTCACCCCGAAATGGTGGAAATATATTTGGCTGAACGAGGGATTTGCCAACTATTTCCAATATTTCATTACTCACAAAGTAAATGCAATACTCTAATCCTTCTTAAAACAAACCTTTACCACTATGTTTCTTGATATGGAATTTATAAATTTTGGGGCAGTGCCATTTGTTTATTCAGCTATTACTATCATGGTTAAAATACATAAGGCGTGTAATTACGCGACTGATTGATACTGCCAGTCACATACCCTTCCTTGTAACAGCCATATGGCCTTATCTATTAATTGTATTTTGCGTTAAAAGGAAGGAAGTGAAGAAGTATTGAAAATGAAAATTAATTTTTCACTTAAAAAGTCTAAATTACACTTTGTAAGTTTGTTTAATAGTTGGATTACACTTTTACGAATTGCTGGCTTTTAAATTGACGTTTCCTCGGTTACAACCATCGCACTAGTTTTTTTACAACACTTGGTCCTTTGGAAATTGATGATAGGAAATATTCAATTTTCAGTAATATCACTCCAGTTTTTACAACTTTTAACAAAGCAGCCTGACATTTATGTCGTCTTAATCAGTTTTTATTTCTGAACACAATAAGTATTCATTTCTCGATATGGTCGTCGTATGGAATGCGCAGTAAGTGACGAAAATGGTGCCATCGAAAGACTATCTTTCGAATTTCTATCATGATTGCTATCACTGTCAGGCACTAATTCTGTTGAGCTGAACATCTTTAAAGGCCAATTCAGTTAACGTCGCAATTTTTACTCACTGACGTATCTTTCTATAACTTTACAGGTCAATTCATCATAATAGAAAATTAAACCAATGAGTAGAAATTGGGACCCCGACATAAATGGGGTCATTTACCTTAGTTTAAATTTATACTTAATAATAATAATGAATTACATTGATTGAAGATTACTCAGTAGATCTCAATTTCTGTTCACGTTACAATTTCACTACCTTAAATTTATACAGGGTGAGTCACCTAACGTTTGAACCTCAAATATCATTGCTGTTTTTGAAGATACATAAAATGTTTTAAGAATAAAATTGAATGGTTTAGTGGGGCTCACACGATACCAAAAATATTTTTGTGTTTATGTCATTTTTTTAGAGATATGAAGGTAACCTTCATTTGTTTAAATGGAACCAACATTTTTTAAATACCTAAGATAATAGTCCCTTTCATTAGAAATCCAGTAACTATAATGATTCAAGGTCACGGTTGTATAAGTGAGACTTATAGTAAACAAGTATTGCGTGTAATCTGGTAGTGTATGTTTTCTACAAGTCTCACTTGCGATAAACGTATTCTACTTTCATACCGACCGTGACGTTGAATAATTGTAGTCACTGAATTTCTAATGAAAGAGACTATCATCGTAGGTATCTAAAGAATAGTGGTTCCATTTAAATAAATGAATATATCTCTAAAAAAAAATGACAAACACACAAATATTTTTGTTATCATATGAGCCCTACTGAATCATTCAACTTTATTTTTAAAACATTTGACATATCTTTAAAAACAACAAAGATATTTGGGGTGCAAACGTTAGGTAACTCATCCTGTATATAAAATTATAGAAAAGAAACCAGTGAGTAAGAACTGTGACGTGAACAGAAATTTCGTCATTTACTATAGTATCGTCTAAATTATCGTTATAAATATCAAATATTCTTCAGTTATTATTATCTACCAAGTCTAGATATAATTTTCAGTACGATAACTAATGATGAAATTATGAAATTTAGATAAAACCTGAATTGCGATTGGACGATATGTTCCTTGTGGACAGCATGCAAGAGACGGCGATGGTCGTTGATGGGTCCCCGGAGGTACGTCCCATGAATAAGGACGTAATCACCCCTAAACAAATCGATGATCTCTTCGATGGCATCGCCTACCAGAAAGGTAAAGAAAACGAATAAAAGACGTCGTTTTAAACTCGATTAGATACATGAAAAAATAAATAGATAGTCGGTTTTAGTTTAACATCAGATAAACAGAAATATGAGCACAAACACCAATGTTAAATTTAATTAAATTTCTAACGGAATTTCTTTTCTTCATTAGCGATATACGTTACCTAATCTTATCGAAAAGTTAAGACGTTTTGAGTACCGTAAAATTGAAGATAAGCGGGCTTGACAAGCGAAAATTAATAATCTGAAAAATCGATAGCGTCACTTTCTAATAACTTATCAGTTATTAAATATTAAAAGTCTATGAATTAACAATTATCATAACTCATATATACGAGTACTTTGTATACAGGTTTTCGCAGAACTAGTGTTAGGCCTTCAAATGGGTAGAAGCTGTGGTGATTTTAAACAACTTTTTCTTTTGCAAAGAAGTTGTTCGAAACATGGTTGTCGAGTTATTAACGAAAAACCGGGACCAATCAGAGCGCTCGTATAGCGGGCGGCCAGGAGCGCGACAACTGCATTCGAGACTGTTGCTCCCGTACGCCACGCTCGTGACGAGAACGCACGATTAATACAAAAGTTACATTCAATATATTTTGTATCAACCATAGATCTACAATCCACACTGTATACTTTATTTATCAGTGCTTTTTAGAAGTCTTGCAATATTGCATTCACAATTTATCTTTTGATAAGGAGATAAGAAATAATTCATAGTGGGTATTAAATAGGTCCTAATAGCTTATCAATGAAAAATCTAAGTATATGGTCCACAGTCATGAAAAATTGAGATGATCTTGACATCCTGACGTCGGAATCGCTGACTAGTTTCATAATTACATTTCTGTTTTCATGGAGAGGTACTAAATAATTAATAGCACGTACCAACTATGTTTAAATATCTGAGAAACATCGATCCAAGTATCTAGTTCGGTCCAATCATTCTGATAAACAATAACAATCTCATAAACAGAACGCGGATCTTTATGCAAAATAAACCTTTCTTGAAATCAGTGTAGGAAATGAAATCTAAATACGAATCTACTTTATATTTAAAAATCATAATATACATTTCGATATTTCATAAGTTGTTGAACATTGAAATAATTTTTTATATTTTATGTATATACCATTTATTTATAAATGCATAAAAAACGCAGAATACTTATTAATAGAGGGGATATCTAAGGCTTACCATCGGAATCCGAGTATGCTTAATTTAGATTCGATGAGACTGAAATTATAATTGTGGTAACTCAGAGGATTATAGGAATTCATGCTAAATTTTTTCAATTGTGAATATGTGAGTTTTATAATATGGGAACCGAACAATGGAGCAATATTCCGAAGTTGGTTTAACAAGGGAACAATACAGAATTTTTGAAATGTTGCAATTATGAAAATATCTAGAAACCGTAACTAAGACCCACAGATTTATATGCAAAAGAAATAATAAAATTATGGTGATCATTGAAAATAAGACTTGGTTGGAAAATAAATCCGAAGTCTCATATAGGTGTACAGTGTTTCTAAAGGATTGCCTAGAAGGTGTTTATGAGGTTGTATTTGGTAAGTTTACATAAAATCATCGATAAGCCATTGAAATGCTAACAATGATTAATTTTACGTTACGTTAATAAAACACTGTGCACAATTTTAGAAATCTTGCAAAGCTATTAAAAAAGTTACTAAATTTTGAATTCTTATGTTGAACAGCAAAATTCTGATTTGATTTGTGAAAAAATGTAGTTGCAATAATGACAAAATTTGAAAATTTGTATTATTGTTAATCCATTTGAATCATTTGGAAAAGCGGAAATTCAGCCCGTATCAATCAAAAGCGCGCATATTTGCGCTTCGTATGATAACGGCCAGAAAAATACCACGTACATATGAGCTCATGATGTAAATGGATTAATACACGTCCTGAGAATATTTTAAAATTGACATATTATTATCAACTTCAAAAATATGACTTAAAACATGTAATAAAAAGTAAGCGAAATGAAAATTTTTAGACTGTTACAAATCAAATACAATCAAACCAAAAAGAGTCACAACTGTGTATCAGAATATTAGGAACTATATTGGAAATTGCCTGTGACTTAAAGAAAGATGTTGAACAATTTAATAAACACCTTCACTATAAACTTAATACTTTCTATAAGATCATCAGTTCACGTATTGGGCAGAGCTTTTTCTTACATTTCTTAAACTTTTAGCAGAGATTTTGCGGCTCATACAATCTTAATCGATCTACTGAAACAAACGTGTTTGCGAATTTTCATTTAGCTATACATATTCAGGAACACTCTAATCCTGACGTCTGTTCAAGTCGTGTTACACACGATTTTAATTAGAATTATTGATTGATAATGAATTGAATGATACATTTTTAGATCACCTGCAAATAGCGAAAATATATTGAAATGGAAAACTTCGGATTAATGTAATTGTGTTAAATTAGGAATTCAATACGAAGGTCTTGATGGATCGTAGATTTAACCAAAATAAGTCTTTAGTAAAAATTATTATATTTCATTAGTCAGCCTTGCTAATAGACTGTCCACCAATGTGCATACAACTTAGAAAATAGCACGGAATGACTGAAAAGCTTTGCGAAAATTAGTATAAGCAGCATTCACTTGCATACCCTTTATTATGAGTGCTATTAATTCCTTGCAAGTTTATTTAATTTTCAACAAATAATTCCCACATTGCATTGTACTCATTTCGACAGCAAACACAAATAATTATTTTATGACTTGCAGGTGGTTCTGTTGTTCGAATGATATCCCACGCCATGACGAAAGAGGTTTTCCACAAGGCCGTGAAACTCTATCTGACAAGCCAGTACGTATATTTTTATATCTGTATAAAACAAATTTATTGAAATAGAATGAAAAAACAAATATTGGATTGTCCGAAAAGTTAGTTCTGATTTTTGATAGATGGATTAAAAGGTGTATGAGTATATCAGAAAGACAAAAAAAAACCGATATGTGTATATTTTCTAAAAGATGATGTCTCAGCCATCTATGGAAAAACTCATTATTCAGTGAGCCATTATTTAATGAAGTGACTATTACAGTGTGAAACGAAAATTATAGCTACTTCATTTTCAATTTTAACTGATTTCATTCTAAAGATAGATTTTTCAAGACCAACGTGCCCTGCAATGTACCTTAAAGTAAACATTGAAACGTATTTTGTCTTGATTATCTGAGAAATAGATACGTAGTATTGAATAGTGCAAACGTGTATTTTGCACTATTTTTAGGGACAGGGTGTACAAGTTGCATGAAACAGTGTGGACCAAAATAGCACGTAAATAATTCTATA